ACCACTCAACCACCCACTCATTCACCCACTCAACCGCCCACTCAACCACCCACTCAACCATCCACTCAACCACTCACTCAACCATTCACTCTACCACCCACTCAACCACTCACTCAACCACCCACTCAACCACCCACTCAACCACTCACTCAACCACCCACTCAACCACCCACTCAACCACTCACTCAACCACCCACTCAACCACCCACTCAACCACTCACTCAACCACCCACTCAACCACCCACTCAACCACTCACTCAACCACCCACTCAACCATCCACTCAACCACCCACTCAACCACCCACTCAACCATCCACTCAACCACCCTCTCAACCACCCACTCAACCACTCACTCAACTACCCACTCAACCACCCACTCAACCACCCACTCAACCACCCACTCATTCACCCACTCAACCACCCACTCAACCACCCACTCAACCACCCACTCATTCACCCACTCAACCACCCACTCAACTACACTCAACCACCCACTCAACCACCCCCTCAACCACTCACTCACCCATCACACTCTCTCACTCTAAGTCAAAGACAAAACAAACGTTGTGATATCACTTGTTTATTGCACCTGTGTCCAAACTGTGCCACCCTGCATCCCAGATGCACACTGAACATGACACTGCTTGCTTGACCCAACCACTCACTCAACCACTCACTCAACCACTCACTCAACCACTCACTCAACCACTCACTCACCCATCACACTCTCTCACTCTAAGTCAAAGACAAAACAAACGTTGTGATATCACTTGTTTATTGCACCTGTGTCCAAACTGTGCCACCCTGCATCCCAGATGCACACTGAACATGACACTGATTGCTTGACTTTATCTTGCTTAATGAACATAGAAACACGTCACATTGATGTGCTGCCATATGTACAATACAATGTAATCAAACTTTATACAACAAAAATACATGCTATAAATAGTTTGTAAAAAACAGGGTAGTGAAATAAACATATCTCCATGGTACATTGTAGAAAGTTCAGGTATTTTCTTTCCTTTGAACTGGTGATGCAGCTTATTTTCAATAAAATATATCAAGTAATAATAACACACTGATGATTTGTACAAGTAATACCATTAATATCACCAAGAGAATATTGCTGAAGTTAATACACATTTAAAATCTGGAAACTTTTACACATCAAATGAATTGTCATAATTATTTGGACCCCATTGGTAGCGTTGTAGCGAGGGACCACTGTAGTTTTTTTAAAGAATTTAATTCTCTATTGTTTGTTTTTCAAATGAATAAAAGATGGGTTTCGTATTGTTTTATTTGGCATGTTTTATTTGGCATGAGAATATTTCATGAAAGGAATACATTTATAGATAAAAAATAATTCTGGAATGCTATGTAGAGATGATATAAAAATAGGAAAGTTTGAATAATAGTGACGGTTGGGTTTAACACGGCTTTGAACAGTATTTGTGTCATATCGGCGTGTAAGCTTAAAGTGGGTACTAATGAGCATTATTTAAGAAAGAATACATCGAAGTTTATGCCTCCAACCGGTAAAACCTATGGGCACAAGTGTGAACGGGTTCAACCCCATGACAGTGGATCCTGAACAGGTAAGGGACACAACTCTGTACAGTGAATTGGGGCATTTGACACCACTTGTGTCCTGAAATTGGAACAGTACACAGATATAATCTCACTGAAGGTGAAGAAAGATATTAAGATAAAATATTACTGAAGAATAAATAAGATTTATTTGGATTGAAGAAAATATGAAGGTGATATAAAGAGATATAAATTACGCAAGAGGTTCACTATGTCAAAGTGAAAAGATTCTCTACAAAGCCAACCTATACACTACATTTACAAGTAGATAATGAAAACATTAAACACTTTGTACATGTTGCTCAAAACTGTTCATTTTTTTGCGCAGTAACGACTTTAGAATCTAAAAAAGTTCCAAATGAATAATTAGCTTTATTATAAGGGTAACGCTATTTTTCAGGACATTATCATTTGCAGAAGCCCGAGGTCTTCCATTAACTGCCCGACGAAGGAGGGCAGTTGAAAAGACCGAGGGCTTCAGCAAATGATAATGCCCTGAAAAATAGCGTTACCGTTATTATAGCTAAAATGGATGGAATTTGTTATCAAATAAATAGAAACAATGTCGATTTTGAAACATTTACTGCAATCAACACGAATGTCACTGACCCACTTTCACAAATATGGAAACGTCATAGAACAAACCAGATGACGTCCCTATTGAACGTTACGTCACCTATCCCTATCCTATGACGTCACCTAACAACGGGCGTGATAATGGCCCGTCGTCAAGTAATATGAGGGCATTATCAAGTTACAGTGGCCCGCTCATTTCTGATAACATGCGGGCGTTTTTATGATAATTCTATCCATTTTAGCTATAATAAATGATATTCATGTTGAACAAATTATTGTTATAGATTTATTAACTATAGACCAAGATGAAGATAGATTGTTTGTTTAGAGAATGTGGAATGAAAACTCTGTTGTTAATGTCCCACTCAGCAGTATTGCAACTTCATACAACTGTATATGATGGCAATCCAGTGATCGATATTATGAGCAACAATCCCTTCATCCATGTATTAGGACACGCCATCAAGCGAGTCGCCAAGCCGGACCAACCGATCCATTTGGTTGCCTCGTACGAGAAGGTCAGGTTTCTGGGGGAATGAAGACTACATCTGTGTACATTTATGGAGGAAACTACAACAATCTACAGGATGTAATCTCATGTTTCTATTGCCATTTGTCGCTATATGGCTGAAATAATGCTAATGCAACATTAAATTTTAACTCACTCACTCTATTGCCATTATATGGTATCGTTCAAGCTCACTGTATGCTACTATTGCACGACTCTCTGACTGGAAATATCAACTTCCACAAACCTTGTTTCTCCCCTACACTTTATACATGGACATATATGGGATTTATACAGGGACTTGTCATTTATAATAGGGTAGGGGGGCTGGTGAGATTAAGGGGGGTCATGAAAAAATGACACAGCGGAAGTGGGGGGTTGCCAAATTTATATTACAACTATGAGGAGGGGGGTTGGGTGGTGGCATAAAAAAATGACATAATTTTATTTTTTTAAATAAAAAAATTATAAAATTGAACATTATTTAGGGACTGGTCATTTATTATAGGGGGAAAGCATGAAAAAATGTTACATGTATTGAGGGTGGGTGGGGCCATAAAAAAATGTTTAATGAAATGGGGGGTCGACAAAATGTGCTAGTGTTGTGCTAGTGTTGATGTCCGTGTATTTAATTGATGATGACATACTTTTACTCTGAGAAGAAATATTGAAAACATGTTATTATATACTAATTTTCATATTGTGCTCATTGCAAAGAAACATGTCCTGACAACAGTCAAGTGGCAGTTGATTGACAGGGAATCAATATCGCTGAAATAACAGGTCTGTATACAAAATACATGTTGTAAGTTTCAATTCATCATCAAAATTAAATTTCAAGAGACTTGGATACATATTTTAAGCATTAATATTTGAGTACAAGGTGTATCAATGTTAGACCACATTGTTTTAAAATTCTTTGACGAAAATTCATAAAGGGTTATAAATATCACTATTTGGAAGAGAACAAATCATATGCCCACAAGTTATTCATGGAAATAAATCCTACTGGAGCTTTCAATAATACTTGTTTCATTGTTGTCTTCTAGGAGTATTTTTACATTCCATATTTATGTATACTTGCTTGTAGAATCAAATCATTATTTCATAATTTCTCCTAAAATGTAAACAACAGGAAACATTTGACTTGGGTTGAAATAAATACTTATCTCAAGCTTCCGTAGTTATGATCTTGTTTTAAACGTCAATTCAAGAGAGATTTAGAAAAAATATAAAGAAATAGTTATGTGATATAAAGGCTTTTCTGAAAGTTGTCCTCGTGAATTTGACATTACAAACCTATCCTGTCATGATGTACTTTGGCTTACCTACCTTTACCTCATGAAAAGAAAAAGAATTCTAAAAAAAGAAATTAACGCTGTAAGGCCTAAGATATAAATATATTCATGTCTGTATACCCTGTGACATATCCCTGGGAACTAACATCACATGAAATAGACAATATAAAAACATACATGAACCAGATATATTTCAAATATACCGTTAGGAAAATAACATATTGGCTCAACGAATATCATAAGGCAGATACATTTGCATAACCACAAGTCTGAACGCCACTTCTGGAAGTTTGGAACTACTAAGCAATGTAAGGTACCAAAGACCAAACAAATACATCCACTCTCAAATTGACCAGATTTCATGAAACAACAAATGACTTTAGGAAGATATTACCGTCAGATATTGGCAATCCTGGAGGACAAAAGATGCTATAAAGTACCGGTATTATATTTGGTGGACTAAATATTTTACTGAACACAAATATATAGCAACAACTGACATATTCTTTAATGGATTACTATTTTTTCAAAACTGTAATTAATTATTATTGTTAAAAGTATATTTAATGAAGTGTATAATATTTGTGTTTGTATGAGATGAACACTATTGTCAGTTTTTCAGCACATAGTACGTAGCACTATATCAGCACTGTGTAACATTGTGTCCTAGTTTCCACAATGTCCTTCTTCAACTGTAAATTGTTCATTTCCATTATGCAATATTAGTTTAACTATTCAGGGAGAAGGCGACAATAAAAGATGCACTTGTGCCAAATCCCACTGAAAAAATAGGTGAGGTGAAATGGGGTTTAACGTCACGTCCAAGATTATTGCACTTATACAGTGACGTGCATGGATGCATTTTTATGTAATGCTAGCCTACTGAGATACCATGCCGCTGTTTAACATGAATACCCCACTCAGGCACAGTATACTAATTCCGAGCCGACCCGTCCTTGTTTAAGACCCTTAATGCCGAGCGCCAGACAGGGTAACAACAAGTACCATCTTTAAACGTCTTTTGGTATGACACGGCCGGGGATCAAACACCAGACCTTCCGCTCTCCGGGCGGACGCTCTTCCACTAGACCACGGAGGCAGTCTTGTTTAAACTAAACAAACATTTCTGTATTAATATCAAAATAAAATCACACTTCTGTCAAGCCAATTAAATTATGTCAGAAGATGATCATGAACTTAATTCTCTCTGTTGCGTGAGGATGCACGTCTTATGTATCTGAATGTCTACAGAGAGACATACGATGTCTCAGTCTGAATGAGCAGTCACGTTTGATGTCTCAGTCTGAATGAGCAGTCACGTTTGATGTCTCAGTCTGAATGAGCAGTCACGTTTGATGTCTCAGTCTGAATGAGCAGTCACGTTTGATGTCTCAGTCTGAATGAGCAGTCACGTTTGATGTCTCAGTCTGAATGAGCAGTCACGTTTGATGTCTCAGTCTGAATGAGCAGTCACGTTTGATGTCTCAGTCTGAATGAACAGTCACAAGGTTTGGACAAACATAAACAAACACAGAAACTTCTCTTAAAGGGACATCAACTGGTGTAGATTTTACTTGGGGTCTGCTAATAAAATGGTGTAGAGCACAGATGAGGCTTTCCAAACGTGTGTAGATCTCTCTTGGGCCTTCATCTGGTGTAGATGTTCAGTCGTAGTGTAATTAGTAAACATCAATGGTGGAACCTGTTGAAATACATATGTAATAATTGTCAAACTGAACAAAATAATATGGATGGATGGATGGATGGGTGGGTGGATGGGTTTGGGTGGATGGATGGATGGGTGGATGGATGGATGGATGGGTGGGTGGATGGATGCATAGATGGATAGATGGATGGATGGATGGATTTCATTGTAAATATATTTCAGCTTCCCATGTACATTTTATCATTATAATCTCATACTTTTCTGTTAACTGGAATAATAGCTCTTAAGAGCTATTTAGTACATAACCATACTGTGTTTTCAATGTAGAGCTAGGTTACCTACAGATATAACCCGCACTAAATTGAATTTGGAAACGATCACGCAGGATGCGGTTTCAAATGTTAAATTTAGCGTGGTTAAATCTACAGGTAACCTAGCTCTACATTGAAAACACAGTATGTTTATCTCCATTCTACCATGACTAAATACAGGTAAAACACAAACTCTTTGGTGCTGGCAAAAATACTGAGTGAAGTGGCATGGGTTGAGTTCAGTGTTTTATGTGGGTTGTCAATCAGAATTTACAGAATCACTGACAGCAGCATTGACACAAAATATGGCCCTCTATATGCTCAAGACGTTTTTTAACCCAGTAATATTTCACTCTAACCTGTGACAGGCACTGAAAGCATGTAGCATGGCAACTTCATAAGATAGCATGAGGTGGGTTAAATGAAAGAAAGAAATGTATGTAAGTCTTGCAAAGATTTCATTCCATACCGCACGTCACTATTATGATGTCATTATCATGTTATTTTAAAATGCCTACCAACAATGACTGTAAAAGAAGTACTATTCTAAAAATATTAGTTTCTGCAGGGATTCAGTCATCAAATCGGCTGTTTCAATCAGAGCGGGTTTATTGTGATTTGATACCTCTGATTGACCAATCAGAATCAAATATTTATTCATGGTAGAATGTTGTTACCTGTCTTGACTGACATTTAATCAAATTTCTTGTATATTGTATCTTGTATGATATTCACTTTAGAGTGAGTGAGTATGGTTTTACGCCGCTTTTAGCAATATTCCAACAATATCACGGCGGGGGACACCAGAAATGGGCTTCACACATTGTACCCATGTCGGGAATCGAACCCGGGTCTTCGGCATGACGAGCCAACGCTTTAACCACTAGGCTACCCGACCGCCCCTATTCGCTTTAGAATATATCATAATAAACACAATTATCATCCACTCACTTATACCCCACTGCATATCACGCTATTCAAATAGGAGTGGGTAATAGTCAACTTACTCATTGGAAATCAGGATTAACATCTTCAAAGTTTACTTCAATGGCAAAGTTCTCCCTGAATACATGAAAGACTTTCTTTTTGTGAGGATTATCAAGTTCACTTCGGCCCATTCGTAATCTGGAAAGAAACCATTGAATTCATAAGAATGCACTGTCTACTGTAATGTAATGATGGCAATACAGACTATAAGAAGATATTCAAACAAAAGGCCAAGTAAACGACATTAAACATGGATGCTTTCAAGGTGAGGTGAAATGGGGTTTAACATACTTTAAGATTATTATACTTATATAGCAACGTGCATGCACGTGTGTGTGTGTGGCTGCTTGTACTAGTCCGGACTGATGCCGATTTATAGTGCTAGCCCACTGAGATACCATGCCACAGTTTAACATGAATACCCCACTCAGACACAGTATACTGACTCCGAGTCCTTGTTTTAGCCCCTAAGCCGAGCGCCAGACAGGATAACAAGAAGTACCATCTTTTAACGTCTTTTGGTATGACGCGGCTTGGGATCGAACCCCGGACCTTCCGCTCTCCGGGCTGACGCTCATTTTTATGACTATTTTTTATTGTTTGTTTGTAATTTAACACCGCACTCAGCAATATTCCAGCTATTTGACGGCGGTCTTTACCAGACAATCCTGTGATTGACATCACGAGCATCGATCCACGCAATTGGGATACGATGACATGCATCAACCAAGTCAGCAAGTCTGACCACCCAATCCTGTGAGTCACCTCTTACGACAAGCATAGTCGCCATTTACGGAAAGCATGGGTTGCTAAAGACCTATTCTACCGGAGTCTTCACGGGTCTATTTTATTTTACTAATGTCTCTAAAGGTATGATTTAGTGACAGCTTGGAGTGTAAATCCCCTGTATGACTCACTTATGATCTTCAATAAAGGCAGTGTTGAACCAGAAGTAGAACGGGCACTTGTCATAGCCCTTGGGAAGACGCACCTGAAAAGTTACAATTCACAATTTCAAGACTTATTACTTTCACCCAGAACCTTTAATAGTTTATTACAGGTGCAGCAGCATCTCAATAGGCTTCAATGAGAGATATACACCTTTCTCTAAAGCCATGATCAATCACTGACTAGAACAGCCCACACTTGTGATCGGTGTACAAGGCAAGAGGCCGTCATTGTTGCTCACAATATGAATCATTGGTGTGTGGACCTGTTTTGACAGGCTGCTGTCATGTCGCTGAAGTGCAGCATTGAACAACAACAATAAAACTGGCTTATGAAGAACCGGATTAAGAACAACTGGCTCATGAACAACTGGTTTACGAGGAACTGGTTTATAAAGTACTGGCTTATAAACAATTTTTCTTATGAACAACTGGTTTATGAACAACTGGCTTTTAAAGAACTAGATTATGAACAACTGGCTTTTAAAGAACTGGTTTATGAACAACTGGTTTATTAACAACTGGCTTATAAACAACTGGCTTATGAACAACTGGTCCTCAAAGAACTGGCTGATAACAACTGGATTATTAACAACTAGATTATGAACAACTGGCTTTTAAAGAACTGGTTTATGAACAACTGGTTTATGAACAACTGGTTTATGAACAACTGGCTTATGAACAACTGGTTTATGAACAACTGGCTTATGAACAACTGGCTTATAAACAACTGGCTTATGAACAACTGGCTTATGAACAACTGGTTTATGAACAACTGGCTTATGAATAACTGGCTTATGAACAACTGGCTTATGAACAACTGGCTTATGAACAACTGGCTTATGAACAACTGGCTTATGGACAACTGGCTTATGAACAACTGGCTTATGAACAACTGGCTTATGGACAACTGGCTTATGGACAACTGGCTTATGAACAACTGGCCTTTAAAGAACTGGCTTATGAACAACTGGCTTATGAACAACTGGCTTATGAACAACTGGCTTATAAACAACTGTCTTATGAACAAGTGGCCTTTAAAGAACTGGCTTATAAACTAGTTTATGAACAACCGGCTTATGAGCAACTGGCTTTTAAAGAACTGGCTTATGAACAACTGGCTTATAAACAACTGGCTTATGAACAACTGGCTTATAAACAACTGGCTTATGAACAACTGGCTTATGAACAACTGGCTTATGAACAACTGGCTTATGAACAACTGGCTTATGAACAACTGGCTTACATTTGTGGAGTGGAACATGACCTTGATGTCTCCCTCCAGTCGGGGACTGTTCTTCAGGTTAATGACGATGCTGTCGCTGTCCGTGTACTTCATCAGCTGGAAACAGTGTATAAAGACTGGCATCAACAGAAAACCCTGCAAATTTGGATAACATTAATTCCAGTCTGGTTTAACGAATGGCCCACTTAACAAATTAGGGCTGGGACCGGTAACTCGGGTACTCTGGTCGGGTGGGTACGGAGACAGGAGACAGAACTACCCAGACCCATGGTTTATCACGTGACATATTGTTTAATGACAAATATTATCTAGAACTCTATGGTTACACTACAAGTCACTAATGTTCACATTTCTTTCTGACTATGCTCCCATTCCTTCTGACTTTCATAAGTTTGAATAAAGATAAAGCTTTAATCAACTTCAGTGTATGCATGACCATATCCTTGTATACGAGTATCTAAATACATTTTGCCAGGGCTATGGTCAAACTATTCCCACTCGGACATTTTGTACCCATCTCTTGAGACCTACACGTGTACCCAGGTAGGGTTGGGTAATAGGGGTGTGGGTACCCGGGTAGTAAATTTGGACTCGTCCTAGTCCTATAACAAATCATACCGTTCCCATTCTTATTGGGTTTCACTGTATCACCATGTTGCTGGTTTTAGGATAACAAATCACAGTGTTCTGTGTTTTAGGCAATATTAATATTGACATGGAGGGACAATGGTCTGGTTAAGTTATCTGACGTTCAGATGAATAGAGGAAACTGATGAGGTGAAAGCTGAGAGTTACCTGACAGTTGACACCTGTAGCGACAAAACACTCAAAGATGAGCAGCCCATCAGCCCGGATGTCCATGGACAGGTCACTGCCATCTCCATCACCCACACCTGGTCAATAACAGACACCTGATATAGGATGATAACACCTGGTGGAGGGGGATAACACAAGAAAACACCTGATACAAGAAGGATAATACTCAATACAACACCAGATATAGGACGATAACACCTGATGGAGGGGGATAACACAAGATAACACCCGATACAAGGAGGAGAATACTCAATAACACCTGATATAGAAGGATAACACCTGATGGAGGGGGATAACACAAGATAACACCTGATATAGAAGGATAACACCTGATGGAGGGGGATAACACAAGATAACACCCGATACAAGGAGGAGAATACTCAATAACACCTGATATAGAAGGATAACACCTGATGGAGGGAGATAACACAAGATAACACCTGATATAGAAGGATAACACCTGATGGAGGGGGATAACACAAGATAACAACTGATACAAGGAGGAGAATACTCAATAACACCTGATATAGAAGGATAACACCTGATGGAGGGGGATAACACAAGATAACACCTGATACAAGGAGGAGAATACTCAATAACACCTGATATAGAAGGATAACACCTGATGGAGGGGGATAACACAAGAAAACACCTGATACAAGAAGGATAATACTCAATACAACACCTGATATAGAAGGATAACACCTGATGGAGGGGGATAACACAAGATAACACCCGATACAAGGAGGAGAATACTCAATAACACCTGATATAGAAGGATAACACCTGATGGAGGGAGATAACACAAGATAACACCTGATATAGAAGGATAACACCTGATGGAGGGGGATAACACAAGATAACAACTGATACAAGGAGGAGAATACTCAATAACACCTGATATAGAAGGATAACACCTGATGGAGGGGGATAACACAAGATAACACCTGATACAAGGAGGAGAATACTCAATAACACCTGATATAGAAGGATAACACCTGATGGAGGGGGATAACACAAGAAAACACCTGATACAAGAAGGATAATACTCAATACAACACCAGATATAGGACGATAACACCTGATGGAGGGGGATAACACAAGATAACACCTGATACAAGGAGGAGAATACTCAATAACACCTGATATAGAAGGATAACACCTGATGGAGGGGGATAACACAAGATAACACCTGATACAAGGAGGAGAATACTCAATAACACCTGATATAGAAGGATAACACCTGATGGAGGGGGATAACACAAGAAAACACCTGATACAAGAAGGATAATACTCAATACAACACCAGATATAGGACGATAACACCTGATGGAGGGGGATAACACAAGATAACACCTGATACAAGGAGGAGAATACTCAATAACACCTGATATAGAAGGATAACACCTGATGGAGGGGGATAACACAAGAAAACACCTGATACAAGAAGGATAATACTCAATACAACACCAGATATAGGACGATAACACCTGATGGAGGGGGATAACACAAGATAACACCCGATACAAGGAGGAGAATACTCAATAACACCTGATATAGAAGGATAACACCTGATGGAGGGGGATAACACAAGAAAACACCTGATACAAGAAGGATAATACTCAATAACACCTGATATAGAAGGATAACACCTGATGGAGGGGATAACACAAGATAACACCTGATATAGAAGGATAACACCTGATGGAGGGGGATAACACAAGATAACACCCGATACAAGGAGGAGAATACTCAATAACACCTGATATAGAAGGATAACACCTGATGGAGGGGGATAACACAAGATAACACCTGATACAAGGAGGAGAATACTCAATAACACCTGATATAGAAGGATAACACCTGATGGAGGGGATAACACAAGATAACACCTGATATAGAAGGATAACACCTGATGGAGGGGGATAACACAAGATAACACCTGATATAGAAGGATAACACCTGGTGGAGGGGGATAACACAAGATAACACCTGATATAGAAGGATAACACCTGATGGAGGGGGATAACACAAGATAACACCCGATACAAGGAGGAGAATACTCAATAACACCTGATATAGAAGGATAACACCTGATGGAGGGGGATAACACAAGATAACACCTGATACAAGGAGGAGAATACTCAATAACACCTGATATAGAAGGATAACACCTGATGGAGGGGATAACACAAGATAACACCTGATATAGAAGGATAACACCTGATGGAGGGGGATAACACAAGATAACACCTGATATAGAAGGATAACACCTGGTGGAGGGGGATAACACAAGATAACACCTGATATAGAAGGATAACACCTGATGGAGGGGGATAACACAAGATAACACCTGATATAGAAGGATAACACCTGATGGAGGGGGATAACACAAGATAACAACTGATACAAGGAGGAGAATACTCAATAACACCTGATATAGAAGGATAACACCTGATATAGGAGGATAATACTTGATAACTCTAGATATAGGAGGATACTACTTGATAACTCCAGATATAGGAGGATAATACTTGATAACTCCAGATATAGGAGGATAATACTTGATAACTCCAGATATAGGAGGATAACAATGATATAGGATAACACCAGATAACAACTGATATAGGAGGATACAAAAGGTTGACACCTGATGTAGCAGGATAACAGTAGATAACAACTGATATAGTATGATAATGGATCACAACTTAAATAGGAGGATAACAGTAGATAACAACTGATATAGTATGATAATGGATCACAACTTAAATAGGAGGATAACAGTAGATAACAACTGATATAGTATGATAATGGATCACAACTTAAATAGGAGGATAACAGTAGATAACAACTGATATAGTATAATAATGGATCACAACTTAAATAGGAGGATAACAGTAGATCACAACTGATATACTAAGATAACAATGGATAACACCTGCTCATATAGGTGATAATGGATAATATCTGGTAATTTGTGATAACAATCAATCACACTTGAAGAATAATGCAGTATGGATACCACCTGGAGGAATGGATAACACTGTTATAGGAAGTCTGACATAGGATCATAACAATGGATAGCATTTGATGCAGTATACATGACACCTGATATAAGATAACATATATGATGGCATGTATAACACTTGATATGTATTGATTCTGACTTTAAATGGGTTACATTAATTGGAGTGATAACACCTGATGCAGGATAACACCAGTGACTACCAGATCTGGACAAGTCAGAAATCACTGACAAGACTTTACCTCGGATTGCTTCTATTTTGAGGGATGTGATTTTCATATATTTCTTTGGAGGTAGTTGTCGGTTGTCATTCTTTATCTTCTCATAGTACCCAACATAGCGACTCTGGAGGTAGAAATAGTTTCAATGATGAACTTCAGTGTGTGTCAGGTTATCATGAACAACTTCAGTGTGTCTCATGTTATCATGAACTTCAGTATGTCTCATGTTATCTAACCACTTCAGTGTGTATAAGGTCATCATGAACAACTTCAGTGTGTCGCATGTTATCATGAACAGCTTTAGTGTAAATCAGATTATCATGAACAACTTCAGTGTAAATCAGATTATCATGAACAACTACAGTGTGTCTCATGTTATCATGAACTTCAGTATGTCTCATGTTATCTAACCACTTCAGTGTGTATAAGGTCATCATGAACAACTTCAGTGTGTCGCATGTTATCATGAACAGCTTTAGTGTAAATCAGATTATCATGAACAACTTCAGTGTGTCTCATGTTATCATGAACAACTTTAGTGTAAATCAGATTATCATGAATAACTTCAGTGTGTCGCATGTTATCATGAACTTCAGCATGTCTCATGTTATCATGAACAACTTCAGTGTGTCTCATGTTATCATGAACAACTTCAGTGTAAATCAGATTATCAGGAACAACTTCAGTGTAAATCAGGTTATCATGAACAACTTCAGTGTGCCTCATGTTATCATGAACTTCAGTGTGTATAAGGTCATCATGAACAACTTCAGTGTGTCTCATGTTATCTAACCACTTCAGTGTGTATAAGGTCATCATGAACAACTTCAGTGTGTCTCATGTTATCATGAACAGCTTTAGTGTAAATCAGATTATCATGAACAACTTCAGTGTATCTCATGTTATCATGAACAACTTTAGTGTAAATCAGATTATCATGAAAAACTTCAGTGTGTCGCATGTTATCATGAACAACTTTAGTGTAAATCAGATTATGATGAACAACTTCAGTGTGTCGCATGTTATCATGAACAACTTTAGTGTAAATCAGATTATCAGGAACAACTTCAGTGTAAATCAGATTATCAGGAACAACTTCAGTGTAAATCAGATTATCATGAACAACTTCAGTGTAAATCAGGTTATCATGAACTTCAGTATGTCTCATGTTATCTAACCACTTCAGTGTGTATAAGGTCATCATGAACAACTTAAGTGTGTCGCATGTTATCATGAACAGCTTTAGTGTAAATCAGATTATCATGAACAACTTCAGTGTGTCTCATGTTATCATGAACAACTTTAGTGTAAATCAGATTATCATGAACAACTTCAGTGTGTCGCATGTTATCATGAACAACTTTAGTGTAAATCAGATTATGATGAACAACTTCAGTGTGTCGCATGTTATCATGAACAACTTTAGTGTAAATCAGATTATCATGAACAACTTCAGTGTGTTGCATGTTATCATGAACAACTTTAGTGTAAATCAGATTATCATGAACAACTTCAGTGTGTTGCATGTTATCATGAACAACTTCAGTGTGTATAAGGTCATCATGAACAACTTCAGTGTAAATCAGATTATCAGGAACAACTTCAGTGTAAATCAGATTATCATGAACAACTACAGTGTAAATCAGATTATCATGAACAACTTCAGTGTATTAAATCAGATTATCATAAACAACTTCAGTGTTTCTCCTGTTATCTTAAGCCAGTACAAAATTCACAATTCTAGGAAAAGTATCAGACAAATTTGTGGACAAACATTTAATCGTTCAGCTCTATTTCCTTTTCCAAATTAAGTCTGCAATAATCAATAAGTTTATGTCACCTGACTCGGGGTCTCCACGCCCTGGAAGGCCTTCCCCACACTCAGGTCCGTCCGGCGATCACCGAAGTAGTTGAGACTCTCCTGCAGCACAACAAGACAGAAACTAGTGGCTGGACTTACCCATCATGTACCCTGACAACCCATCAACTACCCTGACAACCCATCATCTACCCTGACAACACATCATCTACCCTGACAACCCATCATCTACCCTGACAACACATCATTAAACCTGACAACCAATCATCTACCCTGACAACCCATCATCTACCCTGACAACCCATCATCTACCCTGACAACACATCATTAAACCTGACAACCCATCATCTACCCTGACAACCCATCATCTACCCTGACAACACATCATCTACCCTGACAACCCATCATCTACCCTGACAACCCATCATCTACCCTGACAACACATCATCTACCCTGACAACCCATCATTTAACCTGACAATCTATCATCTACCCTGACAACACATCAACTACCCTGACAACACACCATCTACCCTGACAACACATCATCTACCCTGACAACCCATCAACTACCCTGACAACACATCAACTACCCTGACAACACACCATCTACCCTGACAACACATCATCTACCCTGACAACACACCATCTACCCTGACAACCCATCATCTACCCTGACAACACACCATCTACCCTGACAACACATCATCTACCCTGACAATACACCATCTACCCTGACAACACATCATCTACCCTGACAACACACCATCTACCCTGACAACCCATCATCTACCCTGACAACCCATCATCTACCCTGACAATCTATCATCTACCCTGACAACCCATCATCTTTCCTGAAAACCCATCATTTACCCTGACAATCTATCATCTACCCTGACAACCCATCATCTACCCTGACAACCCATCATCTACCCTTACAACCCATCATCTACCCTGACAACCCATCATCTACCCTGACAACCCATCATCTACCCTGACAACCCATCATCTACCCTGACAACCCATCATCTACCCTGACAACCCATCATCTACCCTGACATTCTGTCATCTACCCTGACAACCCATCATCTACCCTGACAACCCATCATCTACCCTGACAACCAATCATCTACCCTGACAACCCATCATCTACCCTGACAACCCATCATCTACCCTGACAACACATCAACTACCCTGACAACACACCATCTACCCTGACAACACATCATCTACCCTGACAACCCATCATCTACCCTGACAACCCATCATCTACCCTGACAATGCATCATCTACCCTGACAACACATCAACTACCCTGACAACGCACCATCCACCCTGACAATCTGTCATCTACCCTGACAACACACCATCTACCCTGACAATACATCATCTACCCTGAAAATCTATCATCTACCCTGACAACCCATCATCTACCCTGACAACCCATCATCTACCCTGACAATCTATCATCTACCCTGACAACACATCAACTACCCTGACAACACACCATCTACCCTGACAACACATCATCTACCCTGACAACCCATCAACTACCCTGACAACACATCAACTACCCTGACAACACACCATCTACCCTGACAACACATCATCTACCCTGACAACACACCATCTACCCTGACAACCCATCATCTACCCTGACAACCCATCATTTAACCTGACAATCTATCATCTACCCTGAAAACCCATCATTTAACCTGACAACCCATCATCTACCCTGACAACCCATCATTTACCCTGAGAACCCATCATCTACCCTGACAACCCATCATCTACCCTGACAACCCATCATCTACCCATCACCTACCCTGTCAACCCATCATCTACCCTGACAACCCATCATCTACCCTGACAACGCATCATCTACCCTGACAACGCATCATCTACCCTGACAACCCATCATCTACCCATCACCTACCCTGTCAACCCATCACCTACCCTGTCAACCCATCATCTACCCTGACAACCCATCATCTACCCTGACAACCCATCATCTACCCTGACAACGCATCATCTACCCTGACAACCCATCATCTACCCATCACCTACCCTGTCAACCCATCACCTACCCTGTCAACCCATCATCTACCCTGACAACCCATCATCTACCCTGACAACCCATCATCTACCCTGACAACCCATCATCTACCCATCACCTACCCTGTCAACCCATCATCTACCCTGACAACCCATCATCTACCCTGACAACCCATCATCTACCCTGACAACCCATCATCTACCCTGACAACCCATCATCTACCCTGTCAACCCATCATCTATCCTGACAACCCATCATCTACCCTGACAACCCATCATCTACCCTGACAACCCATCATCTACCCTGACAACCCATCATCTTCATCCCACAGCATGGTGGAGAATCAAGGGAGACAACTCTAGCACACCTACTGCTATACATGGTCATAATCAGTACTTGCTATAACGGTGGTGATGCGGCCATCAGTCAAAGGATGTCATTATATAGCAACAGAAAAGTAAAATAGTTTAATTTTATCAGGACAAACATGACTTAAAATTCCCCATTTATTTCAGATGGGGATTTACATTCGGATTCTGATGAAGCCAATGGCGCCAGACACCACAGGAAGTGAGTGAGTTTGTTTTTCAATGGTTTTGACTATTTTTTGCCATATTCTAACAACAATACTTTAAAAGGTATTTAGAAGTGATACACGTAAGGGAGAGAATTTATGGATGTCAAATTCTTTATTATGAGGAACACATGTGGATGATGAAGGAGTAAGTATATGCTTTGAAATGTTGTGTTCCTCATAATAAAGAAGTTGACATCCATAACTCACCTCCCTTATAATACAACAGGGGACCGAGGACTGGACTGGACCAAGTTGGGAGTCAAACCTGGGGACAGGTGAACACTTTAACCACAAGGCCACCCACCACCACCCACAGACAGAATCAGTCTTGTCTTACCGATATCATTAATGCATAACCCATATTCAGTCTATATTCACATAACTATGACGTTCGTATCAGTCTCTATGACTATGACTTCTATTCAAGAGATAAACGATGAGTGGGAGTTGTTTATCGTACAATATAACACTGCAGGGAGAATAAACCATGAGGGGCGATAAACAACAACCACGGGTCTTTTGTTTCTTATATGAGATATCAACATTATGTACCGCCTGGTAAAGATGATGAAAATGTACAAACTACAAAATAAATATTTACCAAAATTTTCATAATTATGACTCCATGAATAGAATCCGACCTTGGCATGTCAGACAAGTCCATTTTATTAACAGGTGAAGTTTGGTATTTCCCGCATATTCTCACAATGTTTTATCATGAAATAAACCATGCTTTGTTCTTCATTGTTCTTTGTGATATATCGCGTAGCTATCTTATATATGGTCTTATACAAGCACAAAGTCATCTGTTATCCAACGTCATTTTACATATTTGCTGTCTTACCTCTGCCTCTTCAAACAAGCCACAGTCAATCAGCCATGTACAAATCATCGTCCCAGTCCGACCCTTGCCCCCCTTGCAATGAATTGCGATGACGTTGCGACTATCAGATGCCATCCATTCACGAACGTCATCAGCAAATTTCAACATATCACTGAAAAGCAACTAAAATAATTTCTCAGTCTGTTCTATAAACTGAATATTTGGTCATTTATCAATGGTTGATTATTCAAAAAGAAATTAAAACATATAAATGTCATCATCATAATGTTTGGCTTTGTATAAGAGATCACAAAGATGATTGATGACAAGGGAGTTATCTCCCTTACACTGTGTACCTTCATGTTCAATCAAGGAGCATAATTTATGTATTTATTGTTTAAGATAATTATTCATTATTCTTACGAAAGTTTTGGCACATTGTGATCGTCGATGAAAACACGCCGCACATTGTTATAAAATAACGTCTCATCATAGTCTCGCTCACCTGAAGAAATCAAAGACAGGATTACAAACATGGTGATGGCAGTTTGCATAATACACAACATATTATTCCCTGTTGAACAACTAAGGTAATGGCTGATGAACAACTGGTGGGATGGGAAGCACATTTCTACATTTAAATAACTCTGGTATCTCTTTGAAATTTCAGTTTGTACTTATAATGTAATGAGTGAGTTGGGTTTAACGTCGCTTTAAACAGTATTCCAGTTATATCGCGGCGTGTCAGCCTGATGTGGGAGGAAAGGCCCAAGTGATGCAGGTGTCAGACGTTTACCACTTTGGTGAAACCCACGAGTATGGGTATGGTGCTGACAAGCCTATTAAAACATAATTATGTTGAACCAGGATTTGAACCCACAATCATAGGTTTCTGGCATGCCCAAGGGACGCAACTCTGCACAGGAAATCACGGCACCTTAGGCAACTGGGCCACCAGTGGCCCCACTTATAAGGTAGAATGTAATCGCTATTTGTACTTGAGAACAAGGCTTTGTCAGTCAGTCAGACTCAGTTAGTCAAACAAGGTTATAGTCAGATATGGTTACAGTTAGACAAGGTTACAGTCAGACACAGTCACAAAATGTCACAGTCACTAAATGTCACAGTCAGACACAATAGCAGTCAAGCACAATTTAGCAGTGAGACAATGTCACAATCAGACAATGTCACACTTACACAATGTCAGTCAGACACAATAGCAGTGAGACAATGTCACAGTCAGACAATGCCACTGTCAGACAATGTCACAGACACAATAGCAGTCAGACAATGTCACAGTCAGACAATGTCACAATCAGACAATGCCACTGTCAGACAATGTCACAGTCAGACACAATAGCAGTCAGACAATGTCAGTCAGTCAATGTCACAGTCTGTCACAGTCAGACAATGACAGAGTTAGTCATGGTCAGACAATGCCACAGTCAGTCACAGTCAGACAATGTCACAGTCAGACAATGTCACAGTCATTCACAGTCAGACAATGTCACAATCATTCACAGTCAGACAATGTCACAGTCGGATAATGTCACAATCTGTCACAGTCAGAAAATGTCACAATCAGTCACAGTCAGACAATGTCACAGTCAGACAATGTCACAATCTGTCACAATCAGAAAATGTCACAATCAGTCACACTCACACAATGGCACATTCAGACAATAGCAGTCAGACAATGTCACAGTCAAACAATATCACAGTCAGTCACAGTCAGACAATGTCACAGTCAGACAATGTCACAGTCAGTCACAGTCTGACAATGTCACAATCAGTCACAGTCAGACAATGTCACACACACACACAATGTCACAGTCAGACACAATAGCAATCAGACAATGAAACAATCAGTCACACGCACACAATCAGTCACAGTCGGACACAATAGCAGTCACACAATGTCACACACACACAATGTCACAGTTAGGCACAATAGCAGTCAGACAATGTCATATGCACACAATGTCACAGTCAGAAACAATAGCAGTCAGACAATGTCACACACACACAATGTCACAGTCATAAACAATAGCAGTCAGACAATGTCATATGCACACAATGTCACAGTTAGACACAATAGCAGTCAGATATAGTCACACACAATGTTACAGTCAGAAACAATAGCAGTCAGACAATGTCACAGTCGGACACAATGTCACAGACGGACACAACAACAGTCAGACAATGTCACACACACAATGTCACAGTCGGACACAACAACAGTCAGACAATGTCACACACACAATGTCACAGTCAGACACAACAACAGTCAGACAAAGACAGTCAAAACATTTGCAGTTACGGTTACCATCATGGGAACACCAGCAGACAAAGCAGACAGACAAAGGACAGAAGGCCACTACAGTGCCTGGCAATACTCACTGCATAAATTATAGATTCTGTAATGTCCTGAATGCTTTGTGTTGAAAAACCTGGCAACTTCCTGAAACAAATAATCGTAATGCTCATTCTGAAGATACTCTTCTCTTCCTCTCGTGATGGTCGTCACCAAGCATGAACAGAATAATGCAGTGCGGCCATGTATATTGTGTGTTTGATGTGTCTCTTGTTGTATGCAGACTAAAAAAGTTTAAATGAATTGCCACAAAATTGCATTGTCATTTCAGTGAGGTTCTAAAACAGTAACCAGTTTTACTACACTTGGTGTTGTGATGGTAGGTGAGTGAGTGAGATGGTTTTAACGCCCCTTTGAACAGTATTCCAGTTATATCCCGATGTGTGAGCTAAAAGGGGTAGGAAATCCCGAAAAGATGCAGGTCTTAGACGTTTACCACTTTGGTAAAAACCAGCGAGCATGGGTATGGTGCTGACAAACATAGAAACATAATCAAGGCAAACTGGGATTCAAACCCACAATCATAGGTTTCTAGCCCGCCCAAGGGATGCAACTCTGCACAACAAATTGCAGAGCCTGAGACGACTGGGCCATTCCTGCCCCCTCGGTAGTACGTGACTTGCATCCATCACACTTGATACTTACCCTGATTGGATTTCTGTAGAACGCCATCATTCCTTTGGAGGGGAAGGACATGGCGATTACCCTCTCTGAAAATGTAGTTCAGAAAACTCAGTGGTTGATAGTGTGAGCACCAATAAACAGTCAGTTAGCTGTAACTGCAGTCTGCAGATTGGGATCAGTTCTGTAAACTAGTGGTTGATAGTGTGAACACCAATGAACAGTCAGTTAGCTGTCACTGCAGTCTGCAGATTTTGAGATCAGTTCTGTAAACTAGTGGTTGACAGTGCAAGCACCAATAAACAGTCAGTTAGCTGTCTCTGCAGTCTGCAGATTGGGATCAGTTCTGTAAACTAGTGGTTGACAGTGTGAGCACCAATAAACAGGCAGTTAGCTGTCACTGCAGTCTGAAGAGTGGGGTCAGGTCTGGTGCAGACAAACTAGTGGTTGATAGTGTGAGCACCCCTTCTATAAACATCCTCCTCAGGATGATCTCAGTTCAGTAAACTTAGAGAACAAGAGCTCAACCTTTTCAACTATTTTTGTTGTGTCAAATATATAAAATGAATTACCCATCTTATACACTTTCCTCATCTGCAGCGACTTGCATCAATGGTATTTTTACCTGTAATATAGCAAAGGTCAAGGTCAAAACCATCCTTCTGGTATCGTCGCTTGTTTTGTGATACCACATGACGTGTTGCCCTAGTAACTTGTCGATGTTGCACGACCATGAAATAGATTATCCTCGCAATTCGAATGATTCGGAAAACTCGACCAATCACCACGAGTCTGAAATTCCAAAATTTTAGTTTAGTTCATGAGAAAAAAATAGACACCTATACAAAACAGCAACAACAAACAGAGGAATAAATAGCAATAATAAATTGACTAATAAACAGCAATAATAAACAGAGTAATAAACAGTAATAATAAACAGAGGAATGAACAGCAATAATAAACAGAGGAATGAACAGCAATAATAAACAGAGGAATAAACAGCAATAATAAACAGAGTGTTAACGGCAACATTGGTTAAACAGTCACTTTTCAGAATGGATTTTGGATATGCTTGGATGTCGGTGATATTATGTCCTTTGAAAATTACTTAAAATCAAGATAAGAGATATTTCCTGTCAAGAATGGCAAGCAACAAAAAAGTTTAGCTCGAGATATAAAAACTACTCATATCACAAAAAGTATTTAAGACATGAAAATTACATGTTTAAAACCTGAAAAAATCTTTGCAAAGAAGACAGAATAACAGAATTGTAATTTAAATATGATTGAAGATGAATTTCATGTCATGTCAAAATATCCATTACATAATAAGATGAGAAAAGATCCCATATTTTATATTGTCATATTTCACTGGAAGGTTGCCATGGAAACCATTCATTATACAAGTGGCCTCAGTTTTCTCCAAGCTCATATGTGACAAGTATCCGATTACTCACTTTGCATAGTCCACATGGTTGGATTCTGTGCAGGACTGGTCGGACTCGATCCCAATGAAGACCATGTCAATGATGAATGACACGAACACAATAACCATATCTAGCACGTCCCACACATTGTAAAAGAATTCCTTCCTGAAACACAAGATTAAGATTGAGACATTAAGATCTGCCAACACAGTGAGATTTGGTTTAGGACTGTATCATCTTTTGATCGCACGCACACACGTACGCTTATTTCATTCACCCCCCATCCCCACACCCCACACCCTAACCCCCCTACCCCACCCCACCCCACCCCCCTGTCCCTATACTTAATGACAAGTCCCTAAAAAATGTTCAAATATCATTTTTTCATGATAAAATGTTATCAAATACTCTGAGATACATATATCTATTATGTATTGTATTAATCATGTTTTTGTTTATTTCATTGCTGTTGCAAAAAAAGCTTCCTTCTGGTAATTATAAAGTCTATCTTAACTTGTCTTTAACCTAGTGCTAAGAGACAGAAACTGTATCACATCTGAGTTCTTATCTTCATGCCACTCCATCCGGTTAATAATGTTGCTACTCTCCATATTTCAGTTATATAATTAGTGAGTGAACATTGTTTTATGCCACAGTAAGTAATATTCTCGATCACCACGGTTTGTGACATTTGTTTCTAAACTTACAGTAAATATTACAGCATCTCTCTTAAAGATTACTGTCATGTGTACCGAATCACATACTCACATTATGGCAAAGTTACTAATTAGGTCAGATAATAGAAACATAATTTGTTTCATGTGGTCATCGTGATGATATTTTAAATATGTCATTCTTTAAATTTTTACAACCTAAGAAAACAAAAATTATTGGGAGAATTTAATACTTGATAAACTAACTTTGATAGTTGTGAGATACCCCTTTAAATTGTGTTGAGAAATTATAACATATTTTGTGACTTGAATTTTTATTTGCTAAACTTTGAAATACAGTATAGTTATAAGGAGTTTTTTAGTTTGATTTGATGCCGCTTTTAGCAATATTCCAGCAATATCACAGCGGGGGACACCAGACTTGGGCTTCACACATTGCACCCATGTTGGGAATCGAACCCGGGTTTTCAGCGTGACGAGCGAACGCTTTAACCACTAGACTACCCGACCGCCCCATATAGTTATAAGGAACTTAAAGGGACCACTAATTTTTGTTCATTATAACTGTAGTTCATTATAAGCATATATACAGCAAATGAATGGGACCAAAAACAGTTTGTTATATCCGTCAGTTTGTTATAAATGTGTTCCTAATAAACATAGTTTACTGTAGGAAGGTGATTTATATATAATTTATAAATATCTTACCCTTGATAAAAGATTCTTGCAGACACTTCCACAACGAACAGCGTGATAATTATGTGAGATACTATTTCCATACCACTGTCGACGCTGGCACATGTGTCCCTAGTCAGATCTACAATCACCAGGCTAAAGTCGAGTATAATTAGCAGCACAGTGACGGCTCGGAATGCTATATGCTCCACCACTTTCTTCACTTGGAATTGTAAAGATCTGAAATTGAAAAACCTTTTTTGTTAGCGCATGAGAACTTTGAATTGATTGTACAAAGATAAACATTAGGTATTGATATGTTATTTTTCTACATAAAATTAAATGAAATCTAAACAGTCCAACACTAAAATTGTGACTTTAACTACTTCTCTGTCCAATCCAAACACCATAATTATTCTGTTAATGTCATTTTACAATAATTAACCGTTTTCAAATTAACTGTGAAGCAAAAGAAACAATAGCTGAAAATATCTTCAGGTAGCAATATTAACCCATGAAGATCCAGGGTAGAATAGGTCTTCAGCAACCCATGCTTGCTGTAAAAGGCGACTATGCTTGTCGTAAGAGGTGACTAACGGGATCAGCTGGTCAGGCTCGCTGACTTGGTTGATGCATGTCATCGTATCCCAATTGTGTGGATCGATGCTCATGATGTCAATCACTGGATTGTCTAGCCAAACTCAATTGTTAACAGACCGCCGTCGTATAGCTGGAATATTGCTGAGTGCGACATTAAACAACAAACAAACAAAGAAACAAAGGTAGCAATAATATATCCAAAAATGAAGTGTACAGGCAATTTAGTCAGCACTCAAACAATACTTCTTCATAGTTTTGTTTAGATTAAAAATGAAAAAAAAACTAAAATTGTATAATACACAACAGCTGATGGGTATGTTAGAAATCTTAAATTATCTTTGAAAATGAAAACATTTGCATTTTTCAAGACAAATTTACAGTTGGGGTGTTAGAGGGAATCGGGGGAGGGTCACCACAAAATATAACAGTCTCATGGGGAGGGTCATAAAAAATAATACATATATTTGGCGTGGGTGTGGGGTTCAAGAAAATATGGACATTATATAATAAAATATAAAATGCTTAAAAAATTTTACAAGGACATATAGGGAGGGTCATCCCAAAATATAACAATCATTTGGGGAGGGTAATTAATTACTGGACATAAGTGCATCAAAAACCTCTCACCAATCCCCAACCTCTCGAATAAATGGACAGTCCCTTAGACAACTCTTTCAAAGACTTAACTCTTATGTTTCTTCTTTTTTTCTGATGCATATGGTGGAACATGAACCAAAAGAAAGACTTTTAAATTCTTGGCCAGGGGTATTGAAATGTGATATTTCAGGAAATGAATTTTAAAAAATTAAAATCTTTGTAAAAACAAAAGAATTATTTTGTGGATGAAAAAAAAATAGATAAAAAATGTGAATTATCTGAATGCTGATTCAGCAGTAAATGAGGCTTCATGTTTCTGCGACACTCACTCCAGAGGTCCCTTGGGAGCAAAAGGGTTTCCTGCAGGGTCTTCGATAAACTGGTCTGGTCGTTGGTCTGTCTGCTCATAGACCTTGAACTCTCCACTGATCTGGTCGGCCTTGTGGATCTGTATATGGGCATCTTCCAAGTTCTTCTCACTGTCACCATTTTCCATGTTGACGGAGACTTTGTCGGAATTCTCAGCATCATTGCTGAAACGCTCGTACGATGATGTCATGATGATGTGATCCTTGTGGTCAAAATAGTCTGAATAAAACAAGATTTTTTTTAGATTTATTATTTTGCTTGTGCCATTGTTTTTAATAGTTAAATCAACCTGGAACCTACATTTCAATTCTGAGAGAGAACTACAATATAATATTGATTTTTGTTATTTTAAAAAGTTTTAAAATTATTTCTATAAGTTTTAAGTATGAGTGAGAGATAGATACTCAAAAACAATTGTCTTATGAATTTCAACACTTACCAGATGTAAACCTAATTTGTGTGAATTATTTGAAAAAGATTATTAAAATTAATTGTGATCAATCAATATGTACAAGAATGTTTGTAGGACTTTGTGTTTGATATAGAAGTTAATTGAACAAAGTTAAAAATTTAATTATACTTCAAAATAAAAAATATTTTCATCAAATAACAAAGCAAGAAACAACAATTACATGTGTAGATAATTTTAGGGGGTAGAATATTGAACTTTTTAATTATGCACCAAATTAAAGAAACAAAATTGATTTAGTCAACAGAGAAACTGAATTAAAGTCAATGTAATGATTTTCCGAAAAAAACATAGCCAAGAATCTGATAAACTTCACATCAAAACTTTCTTTAAAAAAATGTTTGCATTGTACAAAACAAATTTAATCCTACATGTACTGTTAACATAAATGCTGAGACATTATTGCAATCTTGAGCCATTGCAAATATGTAAATTAATGTAGTATCTTAAAAATGTTGTAACATGTTGAACATTGTATTAATGTGAGGTTATTTCTTTTTATCCAGAGAAAACATATATAATTTGACTGCATAAATGTTTGCTTGTCAAGAACTTTATAGATCCATATATATTTTTATACATTAGATATAGTTTCAAACTTATTTAATGAGTTTTACATATTGATTACATAAATGGTATCCTTGCTTTCAAAATAATATTAATTCGCATGATAAAAACATTGTTTATGATGTTTGTGAGAGAAGTATGCAACAAGGTCGGAGAAAGGCCTTCATTTGACAGCTCAGCTGATTGATGAGTCACGTAAAATATGATAACATCCATTCAGATTGCAGTATACGAACAGATACTCTTTAATGTCGACTTATTCGGGCTAATGCCGATAAGCGCAGCTGGTACTTGCTGTCTAATTAACTAATCTGTTAATAATTGCGGAGAAAATTGTCATGGTCAGTCAAGCGTGGAAAGGGGGTGTTTCCCATGGATTTGGATTGTTGACTTCGTGCAACATCACTCGGACAACTTTCGCGAAATGTAGCCAGTTGTCATATTGAACATACATGTTGACATAAACTTATTTAGCAAAAGGATTACAAAAATAGCATGCATTAATCGTATCAAACCTGGTCCAAGAAATCCCAACGATTGATGTTTAAGGGCACATGCCGCCCATGAAAGGTCAGAGGTGAAAAGTCATCTCTAACACACGTTTTCATTGGATCAATGATTTCGCTACTGTAAACCTAAGCACTAGTCACATCTTCTATTTTTGCCATCGGCCTCAGTTGAAAGGAGAAATAATTGCTTGGGGTTGATAAATACACCCCTGGTGAAAACAGAGAAATGTGTTTGAATAAATGACACACGTTTTTATACAATAAAAATCAAACGGATTTCCGAACCTAATCTTGTGGGGGAAAAACACATTTAGCCAACATATGAAATATTTCTTTTAAAAATAAATGTCACAAGACAACAACAAGTCAGTGTTCTAGTAACGGTAGTGATTTATATTCAACATCCTCCGAACCTGGGTAGTCCGAGCATCATTTAGAATGCACACTTAATTGAATATATAGCGTCCATAGTAACAGGTCGTTAACCCGGACAACCATTTATTCAACCAGTATGAGCGAAATCGGGGAGTAAGGTTTAACTGGATATAAAAGTGAAAAACTGTCAGCAACAACTGTATGGTGATGTGACGCTGAATCAAAATTATTCGCCCGATTTCATTCTCCTTCTCTAGATAAAGCAATCAACACACTGTCAAAATATACAAACACAGATAACATTGGCTAACGCCTAAAATTCCTCACATTTTCCTGGACGCCTTAACATACGCATCATTTAAATAAGCATATTTTATGATAGTTTCACACACGCGTTACCTTCAGGTATTGTATCCAGGTAGCACCAAGAGGTCGATTTCTGATTGCCCGAGTTGGACAGCATGTCTACAGGTTTAGAATCCATCAACGTATATTTAGAGAGTTATGCGAGATGGTCAGGGGGTCAAGACGCCGCCGGTCACCCCCGACCAGGAAGACCTGCTGTGAGGCACATATTACCATGGTGTAACATACATCACAGGCTTCCTGTTAGGCAGGCTCCACCGACCGGATCATACGTGATCTGAAAGTACTTTTTATTGACCCCAAAGTCATTTGTTTTGTTTTTACGTGATCTTCATGTTTTTATATTATTATTTTTGTATTATTAGTGTCGTTTTGTTTAGTTTTAGCACCACGACGAAGCAGCTAATCGGTTGAGCATTACATTTGTACTGTTGTATGTGTTAACAGGGAGTATAGTAGACTTCTATAATCTCCATGATCTCTGCTGTAAAGATCGAAACACTTTCCCTTTGCCTTCCAATCATGAATATCAGAGACTACATAATATAATATAATATAATATAATATAATATAATATAATATAATATAATATAATATAATATAATATAATATAATATAATATAATATAATATAATATAAATGTAAGTATGTACTTGTTTAAAAACATGAACATTTAAATTATTATTTCCAATCAAATTTGTGTATAGGCTTTATACTTTCTTTTGACCTCCAACCAACAACCGCAAAAACGACCTTATATATATAGTCGCATATGCTACGAGCAGTATGCTTTGGCGAATATCAATATGCGGCATTATTAATGATACTAGTTGTCGACTAGCTAGTCTATGACCCAAATTGGAAATGTCCAATCACATCCAACGTTACTTCCACACAAGGAAATGACGCGCGACCATTGCGATATCGACATGTGGGAATTTCAAACCAAAATATTTACGTTTGCAAGCCAACTTATATCGACTGACTGCGATATTCTTACACATTTACAGTGCTCAAAGCAACAGCTCATGTGATCAATAAGTGGCAAACGAAGACACGCCTAACTAACGGCTGAACAGACATGGACGAGGTGCTATCTTCAGTGAAGGAACTTTCTATTTCAGATTTGAGAGACAAGTTGACATCGTATGGTCAGTCGGTTGGTCCGATCACTTCTACAACAAAATCCCTTTTTCAGAAAAAGTTAGCAAAGTATGTATACACTGATAGGTATGGGGACAAACCCCCAGAAACGACGGAGCCGAAACAAGCGGGTGATCACACGGATACGAAAACGCCAGTGGAAAGCAAATCGACTGAAAATGTTCTACGTGCTCAGGATTCTAAAGCAGGCGACGCCGATAGCAATCGGTCAGTTTTCTATGCAGTGTCTCTCGACTCAGGTGACAAGAACACCGAGGGTGAGATATAATTTTGTTACTATTGTCAGTCACGATAGGCAACGCCCACTTTACGTCAGTTGTCAGGAGTTGCCGAAATGCAATAGCACACGAATGGGCCATGTATCAAAGTCTGTAAACACATCCATCTACCTTAATAGAATGACTTTAACTCAGAGAAACATGCAATGTGGTAATTTTCATTAAATCAATCTTTTTCACTTTTTTTTTTAACTTCTGGTGTGTTAATGGTGTGTTCAATGAAAGTTCTAAACATGGTGTGAACGGAAAATCAATCCATGTGCTTGGATACATACGACCAACTTCAAATCATTCGCAAATACTGGCAATCAAAATTAATATTTTACAAGAAGTTATTATGTTAGCCAAGAAATAATAGCTGCCTGCTTCATGTCATCTGTCTGCCTGCCCAACATAAATATTATGATAATGGCATAAACCAGTGCATAAAAAAACATCCTTGGGGGGGGGGGGGGGGGGGGGGGAGGGGCAGTGTTTGGGACCTCTTAAAGTTTTATATTTAAGCTTGTCTTCATTTTCAGATTTCTTTTGTGATTTGCAAAAATCCAAAAAACAATGCACTTTCCAATCTACCTTCCCTTTTTTCAGCATGTATTGGATACAATATCTTTTAAACCAGTTATGCTGTAAATCAGGCCTACTTTGGTTGTGATTTATAAGAATAAATTTATTCCAAGTGCATTGATGTAGAGCTGCAACCATTCACTCGTTTCATGTAAAACAAAGTAGGAATTGTATTCATTCTTAGTTGGCAGAAAACCCGAATGTGTTAATTTCTTATTTTTAAGTGATATGAAAATGAATAAACCTTACTTTCTCGTGTATAACTATAATGCATGTCTGTGTACTGTCAGGTGTATGTTATGCTAAAGGTTTTTACTAGATGACAATTTCATATTTATTAAATATCCTTGATAACTGGAATGTTCTGTTATGTTCATAAATTTCTTTCTTGGCAAAATCTATTAATTATTCATATTTGTGAATAATTGATTGCATTTGTAATGACTTACAAGATTTAGTTATCTGCAACGTTGATTGTCATCCAAAATGTCTGACAGTTTTTTAAATTTGGTAATGATGTCGAAGAGTGTCCCAACAGAAGTTAATAAACTCATGAAAATGTCCCATAGCCTTTTGCCTCTGCCCAAATCACGGCCATGTTCATGATATGTTTGATAAAAAATGATATTTGCTCAACAATGCATTCATGGCATCTGTACAGTATTGATTCATCATGATCATGAAAGTATTATTTCTGTCAACATTGGATAAAAAGCTTTGAAAAAAACATGCCAGAAGGAAACTGCAATGATTCCTGGGATATGTAACTCGGGTTCTTGGGTTGGTGGGTCCGGAGGAAGATACAGGTACCCACAGGACTACCCTGACCTGTGGTTAGTCACATGACTTAGTGTTCAATGGGAACAACAATAAAACTCCATGGTTATAATACAAGTTGCTCATGTTCGCATTTCTTTCAACTGGACACACATTCCCTCTGACATTATATTCAAGTAAAGATAAAGCTTCAGTCAACTTCAGTTAGTGTATGATCAGATCGTTTTATACATGTATCTAAATATATTTTACCAGGGCTCCGGTAAAACTCTTTCCATTCAGTTAAACTGGGTAGGGTCGGGTAACAAGGTGTCGGGTAATTTGGACTTGTCCAAGCCCTAATCCCTTGACAGTCTTGAGACCCGTGAAGATTCCGGGGTAGATTAGGTCTTCAGCAACCCATGCTTGCCGTAAAAGGTGACTATGCTTGTCGTAAAAGGCGACTAACGGGATCGGATGGTCAGGCTCGCTGACTTGGTTGATGCATGTCATCGATCCCAATTGCGTGGATCAATGCTCATGATGTCAATCACTGGATTGTCTGGTCCAGACTTGATTATTTACAGACCGCCATCATATAGCTGGAATATTGCTGAGTGCGGCGTTAAACAACAAACCAACCAACCAATCCCTTTGAATTTATCGTTTCATTTTTTTCCCATAATTTATGTAACTTGGAACGATTTGGAATAAGCATTTACATTTCCAGTGATTGGATCATTATCCTGAGAGTAACATGATGTTATCACTACTATTCCAGGGGAGAATGTGTACACAGACAAGATGGCTGCCTTTTCTGTTATGAAAAAGCATCCTGGCTCAAGATTCAAGGTGTTTCGCAACAAAGCAGAGGCTGTGGAGTATGCCCGGAACCCTAGTTATTCTTCTCCTATTGTTTCAAAGGTGAGAGTGGTTGAATGACCCCAAATGAATATAAACATTCATCAGCTATTAAATGCCTTGGTGGTCTGGTTTTAGAACATCTGCCAGGAGAGTGAAGGTCCGGGGTTCGATCCCCGGCCGCGTCATACCAAAAGACGTTAAAAGATGGTACTTGTTGTTATCCTGTCTGGCGCTCGGCATTAAGGGGTTAAAGCAAGGACTGGTCGGCTCGGAGTCCGTATACTGTGTCTGAGTTGGGTATTCATGTTAAACTGCGGCATAGTGTCTCAGTGGCCTAGCACTATAAATCGGCATCAGTCCGGTATAGTACAAGCAGCCACACACACACACACACACGTACATGCACGTCGCTATATAAGTGCAATAAACTTGGACGCGATTTCACCTCACCTCACCTTGAACCTATGTGCTTTCAAGTGGCTTTCTGAAGTAGAAACTAACTTTCAAGTTATCACCCGAACATTCACGTTCAGTTTTATGACCTAGCTCTACGTATCATTCGTGTTCATTTTTATAACCTAGCTCTACATATCATTCATGTTCATTTTTATAACCTAGCTCTACATATCATTCATGTTCATTTTTATAACCTAGCTCTACATATCATTCATGTTCATTTTTATGACCTAGCTCTACATATCATTCATATTCATTTTTATAACCTAGCTCTACATATCATTCATATTCATTTTTATGTTACCTTTTTGTTTTAGCCAAGCAATGGAAACTTAGAGCATACCACAACTGGGGTCACATCTGAAAAGAGCAACTTCAAGGGTCCAAAGACTCAGGACTTGACAGAATTACGGAGGACAATTGAGAGAGGGGACAAGAACCAGTTCCTATCCATGGTGTGGAGTAACCCTCGGTACCTCGTCAGTAGCGGCGATACCCCCGTCATTCTTCATGTGAGTTTCTTAACTTATTCAATTGAAGATTTAGATTATCAGGCAACAGACAATGGACATATTCATAAGAAATATTTTTCATTTTCGATAGTGTTTGTATCACAAAACAGACAAGCTCTGTTCTCTTAATTAAGATCCCAATACATCTTCCCATTTCAGTAATGACTTTGTGTGAGCTACATCTGAATCTTGCAAGTGCTATTCAGCATTTTTTAGTGTTACATAAATTTTCTTCAGAAACATTTTTTAAAGAGGGACTAAATTTACAGTTTATTGGATAATGATAGAGAACAATGCCAATTTTGAAAGGTCATGTCTTTCAAAGTCTGGGAAAAGCAGCTGATCTGGTATATCTGTATCCTGTTGTGTCCATATATTACCATAACCGCATGAATAAAGCTGATGTTTACCAGATGAGGCCCTGTCCTTGTTAATCATGGCGTAGCAGCATGTATAACATGACTTTGGATGTCTCGTTAGAGGCAATGCAACTGATATATTCCAACATTTTAACATCTTTACCTTTGGAAATAAAGTTGATATATGGATATAATAGATATTGTCCTCATTCACGTAACATCAAACATTTCTAATCCCCAAACTCCATATAAAGAAACTAAACTTATTTTTATGTCGTAAATCTTAAAAAATGTATTAAACAATATATTTCCAAAGACTTTCTTATTTTGAAGAATTCCAATTAACATCCTAGCTCGGTTTTCATGCATCTTCCGTGACAGTCTATTTGTAAAATAAACTCCCAAGTACTTCTAGACAGATACAACGTCTAATGGATGCCTTTGACAAAACATTTCTCTCTTCTAGTTAGTGGACCACCATTTTTATTAACAATAACTTTTATCTTATACCTGTTGAAAGAGAAATTCCATTGTTTACAATACCATTCCAACATATTCATTTGCTTTTGTAGTCAGATATTGTGCTTGAAAACATTGATATTTCATCAGCAAACAAAAGAAAAAATAACTTTATAGTTTCCGGGTGTAGTTGGCAGTTTTGCTGAATTTGTTGAACTCAGTCATTGATAAAAAAGAACAAAAATGGGCTTAAAATACAAAGATTATTAAAGTATGTATTTGCATTAGTGAGTGAAAAGTGCTGTAGTTCTAATAGATGTGTAGGTTCATTTTTCATGGCGTCATGTCCATTAATGTAGATAGTTACATCTTTAATATCTTCAACATACTGAAAAGTCTGCGAAGTGGAATCATTGCATACATCATCTCAGCAATGATGTCTAAACTAGGCTCACAGAATTATGATCCAAGTTTAAAGTGTTTAAGTTTAAGCAAGCAGAGAATTTTGGGGATTTTCATTTTTTCGACCGACAGTGTTCTTCGAGGTTGAAAATGGACTGCAGAAGCTGTGGTGCTCATAATTTGTGTACATGAATAATTAATGGTGTTTGAATTTCTCAAAGAATCTCAAACTGATTTTTGGTTATTGAAAAAATTAGTTGAGCTACAGAACGTCATGCCTGCAGCCAATAAGGGGAGATAACTGTCAGTATTTGCCACTTTCTCAAAGGGAGCAAAATAAAAAAATCCTGGTTCTAAGGATTCCTGTGACAATGAAGTGAGGTATTTGACTTTGATATCCTGGAACACATTTGTTTTCAATAAATGTTTGAACATATCAAAGAGCCAGTATTAACCACATAAGAGCTGATTATCAATATCAGCCAACCAGTCTTAAGACACCAAGGTTCGTACAGGCTTAACAAGGCCTTGAATTTTAATGTCCCTCTTAAAAAGCCATGTATTAAGTGTTATCCTTTTAATGCCTTGAAAATCACCAAAATATGGAAATCACCAAAATAGCTTAAAAAGCCTTGAATTTATACAAAATGAGATATACTTGTTTTTGAAAGTCCCAAAATTTATGGCTTAATTTTTTAAATTTTTTTTTGGTTGTGAAAATAAATTTTGTTTCGAAATTTGTGATGTTCATATTGCTTCTTAGGTTTTATGACTAATATGTGGTATGCTGGATTTTGCAAAAATATTGACAGACTAAGAGCGAGGCTACTAATCCAAATAAAAAAGCCTTGAAAATGACTGTTAAGAGCTTGAAAAGGCATTGAATTTTATTGTCTCATAACTGTATGAACCTTGGACATACTGTTGACTGATTGATATTTTTTTATCGTGTATTTATGTTCCAGTACATATGTGGAATTCTATCAAAATGCATGTGCAACTTATTTGTAATCAGATGTTGTGAACTTCATGATGATGATGATGATGATGATGCATTATCATTAACTGATTGACTAACCTGTATTGATTCAATAATCAATTGTAAATATCCACCATTAATTGTGGAGCAAAATGCTTTTTGCTTTGATATTTATTCAAGATCTGCAACAATTCCCTTGATGTGTAAATAATTGCACTGTAACAAATTCATCATCAATATGCGACCAATCAAGCATGATCATTAGTGGAATATGATGCTATATTTTTCAAATCATGGTGAATACATGTTCTTTTCTATGGGGAACACAGGTGGCCCGTCTAACGTGCCGCAATTTGCTCTGCAGAGTTGCCTCCCTTCGGCACACCAGAAACCAGTGATTGTGGGTTTCAATCCTGGTTTGCCCCGATTGGGTTTCTAGGTTTGTCAACACCTTACGTGATCGTGGGTTTCATGAAAGTGGTAAACTTTCATCACCTCAGACTATCCTCCAACTTTAAGTTAACAAGCGGTGATGTAGCTGGAATACTGTTCAATGTGACGTTAAACGCAACTCACTCGCTCACTCTTTGCTTTGCACCTTCTGGCAAAATAGCGACAGCCCATCTCAATGAAAAAGAACGGGTGAAAGCATAGAAGAGGATTGTTTAACACTGGGATCTGCAGACTGCTTCTGGCAAGTGAACTGATGTACTCCCTGCAGTCAGGCATGCACACATTATGTGAAGAGTTATGTCCCTTGCAGGAAGGTCTCTATTGTAAGCTTCAAGTTTGTGGTCAGATATATAGAGTTATGTCCCTTGCAGCAAGGTCTCCATTGTAAGATTCAAGTTTGTGGTCAGATATATAGAGTTATGTCCCTTGTAGGAAGGTCTCCACAAGCTCCTTCCCTTACAATGACACTTTCGGTATACTCTCGGTAACATTGCTGCCACCAGTGTAGGCACGGCCATTACAAGAATCTTGAAATTTGGCCTCTAACCCCAAACGTAGTAACTTTCATACTTTTGTTTATGTCTTTGGGAATGCCATCATATATTATTTTGAAATGGTTTACGACTAATCATGTTTTCCAGTTGAATTAGCTTTGTTGTTTGTATAATCAGATTGGTTAGAGATTGCAGACTAACGGAAAATCAACCAACTTCTCCCTTCCATTTTCTTGCTATATCAATCACATGAGAGATTTAATGGGGTAAGTGTATTCGGTGTCACGACAGTCGTCACTTCTTTGTAAACATAAGGGTCATTCGGTTGCGAGTTCAACTCCAAGCATGGTTGTGGCCACCTATCACAGTGGGGAGTATTGACTGGTGGCAATGATAGTATAGAGAGCTCTACGAACGGGCTATCACTGTGAGGAGCTTGAAGGTCTCCATTGTAATCTTCAAGTTTCCAGTAGGATATATGAGTTATGTCCCTTGCAGGAAGGTCTCCGCTACAATGCTCTCCATGTGGCAGCTCACAAGAACAAGCCCGACATGGCCAAGCTGGTCCTCGAGACTCTGCTAGACCAGGAATTCACCAAACAGCTGTACGCAGGAACCAACGACAATGCTGACACACAGACACGCCGGATCGACTTCTTGGTCGATCTGTACCTCAACACACCAGAAAAAGGGGTGAGTTGATCATATGCAGACATTCCTAATTCGGTTGAAAAAAACATGTCGGCAACTCTTTTCCATAATAATTTTGACCTTAATTTGACCTTTGAACTTCCAACACACTAAAGGCTAAAACGTCTTATGAGCTTTATTTAGCCATTACCAATCATAAGGTAATGAAATTCGTATATGTGTTGGTAGTGGTGATTCTCACATATATTCCGTTTTTCATGATATATTGAAATGTGACCCTGATTTGACCTTTTCACATCAAGCATGCTAAAATATGATTTTTCCATATGGCCACTTCACCAGCCATATCGAAAAGACCTGTGAAGATCTGGGGTAGAATAGGTCTTCAGCAACCCATGCTTGTCGTAAGAGGCGAATAACAGGATCGTGTGGTCAGGCTCGCAGATTTGGTTGATACATGTAATCATATCCCAATTTTTCTTAGATCGATGCTCATGATGTCAATCACTGGATTGTCTTGTCCAGATTTGATTATTTTCAGACCGCCGTCATATAGCTAAAATATTGCTGAGTGCGGTGTCAAACAAACAAACAAACAAACGAGAAAGTAATTATTTTGAACGAGAACTTTTTCCTTAATTCTATTGATACCTTACCATTATGAATTTGGCGTTAAACATCAATAACAACAAAACAAAAAAACATCGAAAAAGCTGGTTATAGCCATTACTCGCTTAGTTTTGTTCCTATTGGAATGTAATCTGTTAATGTTGTTAGTAGTGGGCTTGCACTCATATGTTCAATTCTTTCAAGAAATTTAAAATTTGTACCATCTTTGACCATTATCTGAAATTCTCTCAAAGGCATGTGTTATTTCTTATGTGAACTGAGACAGCTGTTCTTTGGAATGTATCTGTCTCCTTTTCATGGCACTGATTTTGTTAAAATTGATAGATTTATTTATTTTAAGTGTTATTGTTTTTGTCCTCAGTATTTATGTATGAAATATTTGAATATCAATGCTAACACAACTTATTTAATTGGCTGTCATTGTTGACATTAAAATGTTGACTACATAACCAGGTGAGCTACAGTGGCACAATTTTCCCCACAGTACTCACACTGTTAAGTATGTGCATCCATTCTCAATTTGTGTGTTCATTGGACGCCATATTTTGTACCCAGTAAAATTTTGGTAAATGATTTGTGAATTGCTCTTCATATTATGTGAAAACTGTTGAAACCATATTTAATTGGTGTTGACACTTTCTGTGTGTGGAAATATGGAGATAGGAATTCTTATTTTGTACTCTAAAACTGAAATAAATATACCCTTGTGGGTCTGTTCTTACAAAGCCAGAGCATCAAAAATATATTTTTGTGCCATTTTCAGCATATCACAATAAAGGGTTTGGAAAAGTCCTTTCACCCTTGGATGAAAAACTCATCCACTTGGAAGTATTGTGTATGGACAAATCACCACAAAATAGCAATATCACCAAATGAAATACATTGTCGACTGTTCCCAAAATAATCTGAGCAATAAGCGAGACATTGCCGTGATGTCCGAGATATTGCCGTGATGTCCGAGACATTTGATGCTGGAAATGGTCAAGTATTATTCATACATTCAAATTGAATGTATAACATTGAGGACAAAAGAACACGGCGCCTGTGTTAATGGGCATGAAGAATGGCATTAAGGCTGCGAGAAGTGATACAGCTCACTAACCTGACCTTGGTGCTAGGTTCCTGCAAGCCTACGGATTTGTAGCCAAGTTCTAGAAAATAGGTTTACTGTATTGTTTACCTTGATTTTTGAGAAAAGCTAAATATAACTATCATGTGATTGGAATGTAAACTTTATCATGAGCCTTTGGCAGTAGGTATATAAAATTATTGTCCATTTTTGTCAAGTCTGGATCGTAACTTAGCTTAAAAATGCTTGCAGCTGAATAAAACAGTTTATTCCTTAATCTTAATCTTGAACTTCAAACAATAACGTGTCAAGGCCGCATGTAACCAGTTCAGTCATACATAAGAGGAACATTTTGGAAGTATTAAAGAAACAGAAATGATTTTGTAAGAATGAGAAAAGTAGTGTGAACTAAACATGGCAACAAATCAGCAATTCATGGTCGTGGTGATGAAATTAAATTCTGATTTGTCAGTCAAGGTAAACCGGTGGCATGGGTAAGAAAACCGCTGTGCATGCAGGCCCCTTACTGTATGTTTTTTATGCACCAATGTTTGTAGTGATGCGCATGGTACATGACTTTCAAATCACGGAACAGTGGTTGAAGAACTTAGTGTTACCCCAACATTTACAAACTTTTCCTAAAAACTTGCATGAAAACATTGTTCTATCGATATCCTAAGCATCAATGCATATAACAGTGACTGCTCATTCCGAATTAAAATCTACACTTCGGCTACCTCAAATTTTAGAACAGTAGGTTTATCTCCTAATTGGAAGAAACCGCCTCCGTGGTCTAGTGGTAGAGCGTCCGCCCGGAGAGCGGAATGTCCGGGGTTCGATCCCCGGCTGCGTCATACCAAAAAACATTTAAAGATGGTACTTGTTGTTACCCTGTCTGGCGCTCGGCATTAAGGGGCTAAAACAAGGCCTGGTCGTCTCGGAGTCAGTATACCGTCTCTGAGTGGGGTATTCATGTAAAACTGCGGCATGGTATCTCAGTGTGCTAGCACTATAAATCGGCATCAGTCCGGACTAGTACAAGCAGCCACACAAACACACACACGTACATGCACGTCGCTATATAAGTGCAATAATCTTGGACGCGACGTTAAACCCCATTTCACCTCACCCTAATTGGAAGACATTACTGCTGGGCTATCAGCCATGGCAACATAAAGCATCACAGTCTGTTGATGCAGAAATGGATACATCAGTAAATATTAGTCAAAATATGAAACATTCAGGTCATCTGAGTACATTTGTGACGCCAAGAGGCAATTAACATTGACATTATGCAAACTGAGGGGAACAACTAAACTATTTTCACTACTCGTCCAAATAACATAGTCAGATCATTAACCAGGCTTACGGCTGTATTTGAGACTGCAGAGAAGATGGCTGTGGGGCCTGATATTTTCCTGTATTAAGGTCAAACAATCTTTGGGTACACTGGAAGACTGTCATAGAGTCGTACCCAACGGCAGGAAGACCTGCAATACTCTGTCACATGACAAGATGAAGATGTCGCAAGGGATGCTCTGTCTGCATGCACCACCACTGTAATGGTTACCGTACACTTTAGTTAAGTTATCTCTGAAATATTCCATTTCAGGTCGTGGGCCAGTAAAAGTTAAACACAATGTAACACAGTTCTACAACCAATGACCATAAAGTAGAAGTATGGTTTGTCATTCAAGGGAATATGAAATACTATTTTTATGACAACAGTTTCAAGGCAATATCAAATACTATTTTTATGACAACAGTTTCAAGGGAATATCAAATACTATTTATATGACAACAGTTTCAAGGGAATATCAGTGAGTGAGTGAGTGAGTATGGTTTTACGCCGCTTTTAGCAATTTTCCAGCAATATCACGGCGGGGGACACCAGAAATGGGCTTCACACATTGTACCCATGTCGGGAATCGAACCCGGGTCTTCGGTGTGACGAGCGAACGCTTTAACCACTGGGCTACCCGACCGCCCCTTCAAGGGAATATCAAATACTATTTATATGAGAACAGTTTCAAGGGAATATCAAATACTTTTTGTTTGACAGCTGTACAAAGGAAACATCAAATACTATTTGTATGACAACAGTTCCACTTGAATATCAAATGTTATCTGTATGACAGCTGTATGAAGGCAATATCAAATACTATTTGTATGACAACAGTTCCACTTGAATATCAAATGTTATCTGTATGACAACTGTACGAAGGCAATATCAAATACTATTTGTATGACAACAGTTCCACTTGAATATCAAATGTTATCTGTATGACAACTGTACAAAGGCACTATCAAATACTATTTTTATGACAACAGTTCCACTTGAATATCAAATGTTAGCTGTATGACAACTGTACGAAGGCAATATCAAATACCATTTGTATGACAACAATTCCAATAGAATATGGAATACTACTGCATGACAATTGTACCAAGGGACAATTGACTACTATTTGTATGACAACGGTTCTAAGCAGTGAGACACATTCGTTAGCCGACCCTGTGAAGATTCCGGTATAGAATAGGTCTTCAGCAACCCATGCTTGCCGTGAAAGGTGATTTTGCTTGTCGTAAAAGGCCACTAACGGGATCCGGTGGTCAGGCTCGCTGACTTTGTTGATGCATGTCATCAATCCCAAATGCGTGGATCGATGCTCATGATATCAATCACTGGTTTGTCTGGTCAAGACTCGATTATTTACACAGACCGCCGTCATATAGCTGATATATTGCTGAGTGCGGCGTTAAATTACAAACCAACCAACCAACCAACATTCGGTAGCCACCTGGTCACGCAGAATATCGCTATCACAAGTCAGTAATGTAGTTGAGTATGGACAGTACCACCAGTGGTTGACAGCATGAGCACTAATCCACACCACCAGGGTATAGTGACCCAGTCAAGAATGTCACACATTGCTAAGCCCCATGTCTGTTTAGTTGATTCTTCAGGGGATTTATCAAATGTCCTCCAAGGCTGATGTTTGGTCCAAAATTTTGTAAAAGTTAAGATTTAAATGAATAGGTTCCAAATTCTAATGTTTAGTCTGCAAATGTACCAACAAAGACAAAAAGATTTTACCTCTAAATCAATGGGGAAAAAACTTGCAAATATTTCCAAATTTAACAAAATATTATTATTTCCAATTTACCTGCCACATGTTTGAAAGTTTGAAATCTTCGCTAAATCTCTGTTAGTGTGTTATAAAACACTTCACTCTACAGCATCTCCCTATATGGCATCTATTATGTATTTTATTTATTGATGATTTCTATGTGTCTGGAATTTGTGGAAGTCTATATTGATATTTCATTTGAGTAAACTAGTGCTGCACTGCTGTCTGTCTGCCTCAGGTGTCTAGACTAAGGTCAGGAAGAATATATGTTAGGAAAAACAGGTTTGACTTCTCTTTTCAAATAACATGTTTATTTCATCTGGACATTTGACATTTCACTTGGACTTGTTATTTGATAAGAGTAGTCAGATATTATTTTTGAAATAAAAACTGCATTGTTAATTTTAGCAATGGAAGAGAGAGAGAGAGGGTGGGGGGAATTCGTCGGTGATGATATTGACCATTTTTGTGAAAGAGAGAGGAAGAGTCTTGACTTAATCTTTCTTCAGTTAAAACCTTTCAGTAGATGAAGTTCCTATACATGTGTCATCAGCAAATAATCTAGTAATATTTTGAAGCTGGTCAGTAATACCATTTATGTAAACTATAAATAGTAACAGCCCCAGTACAAGACCCTGGGGGAGCCCTGCCTTGGTGAATGTATTACGTGATAAGCTAATAAATACTCTTTGGCAACGACCTGACCGTTAGCTACGACACCTCGCTAGTAATTTACCAGTGAAACATTGAAGCCTATGCAATACACCTGTATGCCATACCCAGTGCTGAGAGAGTATAGTTTCATATTCCCTTTAATTTGAAATGATGTAATTATTCATTTCACTGTATATACTCATAAATCCATTTCTGTCCCAGTGTTGTGAACGTTTCACAGACTTATGGGTTTGTTTAACAGTAACCTTATCCTTTTACAGAGTGGAGAGTCACCCTTACACTTCGCCAGCAAGTATGGTTTCCCGGATGTGATCGAGGTCATCCTGGGGTACCCAGGTCTCGACAGACATCTGAGGAACAAATATGGGGAGACTCCAGAAGAGGTAAGACTGTTCTATTCTTATTGTTTGTTGTTTAATGCCACACTCAGCAATTTATTCCAGCTACATGACAGCGGTCTGTAAATAATCGAGTCTGGACCAGACAATCCAGTGATAGACATCATGAGCATCGATCCACGCATTTGGGATGTGATGACAAGCATCAACCAAGTCAGTGAGCCTGACCACCCGATCCCGTTAGTTGCCTTTTACGACAAGCATAGTCGCCTTTTACAGCAAGTATGGGTTGCTGAAGACCTATTCTACCCCAGATCTTCACGGGTACTACTATTTATCATGACTTCTTTCACAATTTAACCTTTTTGTTGACCACACATCTTGTGTAATCCCAAACAAGTCGCTTAGCTGCCCTGTATTGATGAGTCATCATGTTGGATGTGACTCACTTGCTTGTCAATAATAACAATAATTATGACACACCCACAGCCATCATGATACGAGAGTTATGAACCCTTTCTGAAGGTCACATGGGCGTCCACCCGGAGAGCGGAATGTTGGGGGCTCAATCCCCGGCCGCGTCACACCAAAAGACGTTAAAAGATGGTACTTGCTGTCTGGCGCTCGGCATTAAGGGGCTTAAACAAGGACTGGTCGGTTTGGAGTCTGTATACTGTGTCTGAGTGGGGTATTCATGTTAAACAGCATCATGGTATCTCAGAGGGCTAGCACTATAAAATCAGCATTTGTCCGGACTAATACGGGCAGCCACACACACACACACACACACGTGAAATAATCTTGAACGCGCATAAACCCCATTTCACCTCACCGAAATATCAACAGCAAAGCGTGTGAATGCCTACAATAATGGCTGAGTAATATTTTGTCTGTAATGGAGTGTTGTACCAGTTCTACTTCACCGAGGGCATCATTACACCGTTGTACATTGAGTGTTGTGCAGGGAACTGAGAGAATCAGTTTTGTCAAACTGCTTATAATATCCACTGACTGAATTTGTGTCATCTGAAAGATGTAATTTATTATCACAAGTGTTACACTCATAGATAATGGTGACGGGTTATATCCACTTTTAGGACTGAAGATTTCATCCGAAAGAAAGCCCTGGACTGGAAAGCACAATTAAAGACTCCATTTCATTCAATTTCAATGAATCAACTCTTTTCAAATTCAAAGGTTCATTAAGACACTAATATGCAACTTAAACATCAAGCCATCATGAAAAAAATTTAAAAGAATTAGGACCAGTTTCTTATTTTCATGTGGAAACCTCTAAATAAGTCAAGATTATCCATGTTATATCGTAACATTCCACATGTTTCAGAACAACTGCTACACAAGAATCGCTAGAAATTGATTCAGCTTTAGAAATTGGCACTTGTCCTGTAGCCCTTGACAAACTGCCCAATAGTTAAGGTATCATAAGGACTAGTAGAAATTTGCCCTTTTTAAGGGTTTTGCTATATGTAATCATTATAAGGACTGCTAGTATCACCGTTGTGCTTTCTTAACTAAGGCCCAGGGCCCCGTTCCTCAAAGTGATCTTAGCGCTAAGGTCAAAGTGATCAAAGTAAGTCCCATACTTTAACATAGGCTTACGATCATCGTAGCGCTAAGATCGCTTTGAGGAATGGGGCCCTGGAGCTAAGATACTAAACAAAATCCTGGTAGGTACATATTTTAATGAAAATGTCTTCCATTTATGTGGATAAAGTACAGTGCATATATAAATGTTCAGCAATCTATTTTGTCTGGCTTGACACTTGAAGCTGAAGTTCAATACCTAACCTAACAAGATCCTAACTTATCCATGGTAACAATCCCCAAATCACCCCGATGATGATAACTGGAGTTTTCCCCACTGTATCCATGGCAGTGATGGATAGTACCAAAGCTGTAAACAATGGCGACCTACATCACTTTCCTCCGAGCTGACGTGACAGGATATGACCCAAATACAGATAAAAACTGTGTTAAAAACTCACTCACTCACCTAACTTATCCAATATTATCTGACAACTTTGTTTGCCAGGTAGAAATTCCATTACCCTGACAGTAATGGATCTTGATTTGTCAATTCCGATGTCAATTTGGCGTGAGTTGAGCTGAAAATTTGATTTAATGGACGCATTCAAAAGAAACAATGTCAAGGAAGTCATAATTGATTAAATTTTGAATCTAAGTTTTTTTTATTGACAAAACAGTTGGATAGCCTCATGGTTATAGCATTCGCTCATCACACGAAAGGCCTGGGTTTGTTCCCTACATGGGTACAATGTATTTCTGGTCCCCTGTTGTGGTTTTGCTTGAATATTGCAGGGGTAATTCTAGGGAAGGTCTTCGTGCTTTTGGCACCCATTTTTGAAAAAAAGGCCCATAGTTTCTAATACAATGGGGCATTTTAACATTGTGCTGTATTGGCAAGTGTGGGTGTATCTCTGGAATATTTGAAATTTTCACATGAAATTCCCATGTCAGAAAATTCCTAGAGTGAACCCTGATATTGCCAACAGCAGCGTAAAACCATACTCACTCACTGTTGTGAGTGGGCACCAGGCAGGATCAGGGAAGACCACCAGCTTCAGGAGATACTGACAATTCCACATTCGTAACCTGGGGCTAGTGAGTGAGTGAATCAGTTTTGTTTAGTGCTGCATGTAAATCTTGGGCTAACTGTTTTTGACCCCTAGTCCAAATGGCTATTGAAGCATACATGCTATTTTATTCAGCGATATAGAAACTAACAGCTTTAGTCTACTAGTCCTTATTATGATAACATATAACATTTCTATTGGTCCTTATGACGCCTTTAGTATTGGGCAGTAATGCAAGAACTATAGGACTATTGCCAATTTCTCTCACTGTTCTTACACTGAAATACTACTGTATTGACAACTTCTTCCAGCCATGCTCTCACTTCGTTTCACTGGTGGTTAAACTTAATGTGCTCTGTTAATGTGAATATAGTGCTGCATTAGGCATTCATATTGTTTCATGAAACTTTGCAAGAAAATTTACCTAAAATATTAGGTAATTAGTTTTGCAGTTAATTTTGCACAAAATGTTCATTTCCAGCTTGTTAAAGAAATATTAGTGATGTTAAGGCCACCTTAAACGGTTATCTGTTCTTTTTATAAATGTTAAATAGAATTTAAAATGGTTTTGGTGTACCTATGTATGAAACAATTAATTTATAACTCTCTCTCATGTGTTGTAAAAACCTACTCATCTAAGTTCAATGAATATCTATAGTATTCAATGAGTATTTCATAGTCTCATTAAAATCAGATCTTAGTGCTCGCTACCACCACACAAAGATCTGAGGACTTCCCAATACAGCACTATTTTGTAGTTAAAAGGCTAGCGGACTAGTGTGAATTTTCGAAGGCTGTAAAAGCAGTGTAAAAGATCTGCCAATGTTTTCCATTTGCCGTAAAATGTGTTAAAATTGGATCCGGTGACCTTGTTGAAGGGCGTTTAAAAATATTGATAATCAAAATTGTCATTGATGTGAAGAAATATAAGTGCTTATCGATATGAAAATTGTGTCATCAATGATATCTTACATAATCTGTTGTGATGAAAAAGTTTAGATTTACCAAAGCAGATTTGTTATGTCCATTGCCAAAGATGGAAAGCAACTGATTTTGTTATATCTTGTCCACAGAGTATTCCATGCATAAATGTATCACCACTCACCAAGTGACGTGAAATACGCTGTTTTTTCTCAGATGTTTTAGCATATTTGCTCAAAGTTACTTCTCCGATATTCATCGATAATGGATTGATATTTAGTTAACGATTATCATTCTCTATGTTTGGTTGGTTGGTTGGTTGGTTGGTTGGTTGTTTAACGCCGCACTCAGCAATATTCCAGCTATATGATGGCGGTCTGAAAATAATTGAGTCTGGACCAGACAATCCAGTGATTGATATCATGAGCATCGATCCACGCAATTGGGATCGATGACATGCATCAACCAAGTCAGCGAGCCAGACCACCGGATCCCGTTAGTCGCCTTTTACGACAAGCATAGTCGCCTTTTACGGCAAGCATTGGTTGCTGAAGACCTATTCTACCCCGGATCTTCACGGGTCTCTATGATTGATACCGATAACCAGCCCTACCTGGTTGATGTCAAAATCGGTAGGTCAGACTCTTTACCACAATGACATGCAACAATGCTCATGATATCAACCACTGGTTGATCAATTGTGATGCAGGTCACATTATGTAGCTGGAATCTTAGCAGCAACTTGGAATCTTGGAATGTAGCAGAGGGCATAAAAAACAAATCAATCCAACGCATTCAATATCCCTGTAGTGTACATACAGTCTCTCGTTGACATACTGGATTAAGAAAGATTCATCATCAGACACTACTTTAGAAATACCAGAAGCAAATGTCTACAGTATTTCCAATTTGGATGATATACAAAGCCATTTCTCAGATCATATTTCAAGCGACCAAATTACTAATTTCAGCCATTCTCACTCCAAGACGGTTCAATATTTTGAATAACCCGTGCTTGAGCTCTACATACTTATAAAACATATACACGTCTATGTAATATGACAGGTTTTGAGTTTCCTTTGTATTGAAATTGTGCTCGAAATGATGCATGCCCAGCACAACCACAGTGAAAATTGCCCTTGTATAATGAAACAGACAGACCAAAACGCTCGCAGTGTCTGCTTGATTAAGTGAGAAAACTTCCCGTCCTTACAAATCTTCCCGTCTTGGACTAGGGGTCTCATAGCAGCTCGAGTCCTGGAGTCCTGTCTGTGCAAATTGTTCTGTGATGAGCACCAGAGGCAATTGCCATTTGGGATCCACAACGATTACATTGCATAAATTCATACAGCAGGTTCCATAAACATTATGTGGTCTTACTTCTAGTAGAGGGTTGACTGGTTGACTTGCAACCATGGGGCCAGGAATTTTGAAATAATAATAATAATAATGATAATGATGATAATAATAATAATAATAATAGGCGGTTAATATTGCGCATATTTCCAC